CCGACCAAAGAACCTCCTTCAACCAACACACATTGAACATCATTGAATGCTTCTCGATTGCCAAGGATTTTTCTATCTGAAATCGATTGGGTCCAGTCTTTGTATCTGAAACCTTCATGCGCGTCTTTCGTCTTCTTTTCTTTTGAGGCGAAAACTCGAGACGGCCAGCGAAAGCACAAACACGACCATCCGCTCTGCCGCTTCCCGCCCGCTTCCCGCTCTCTCCTGTCATTCCAGTCCCATGTGTCTGCACATGATACTTGTGGCCTTGAAATTCCTCGGGGATTGGCCAGGCCTCACGACACAAGGCACACGGTGGCTTCTTCACACGCTGTTGGCACCGAGAAGCATTGAAGGTCACGTTGTCGAAGGAAGCGCCAGGTTTGAGAAGCGCCATGTTGTGCTTCACCATCTCCTGAGCACAGTGCCATGGCGATTGCAGCTACGACCCTGTCAGCAAAGCTTGTGCACCAGCTGCGCTCATCAAGCAAAACCCAAGCCAAACGCCCCTTCCAACAATGTACAGGAAACATTGGTGAGGATTGCGCGTGGAAACAGTTTGATCAATTTCAACATAACATGAGGCCAAAGGTGAATGAAAGCTAGGCAATGGGGCGAGTGAGTCGGAATGGAAAGTAGGCTCGCTTTTTGCACCAAGCTCTACAGAATCTTTGAAGTGTCTTTGATCAAGCGTCCAGGGCCAGGTTGTAGTGTTTCTTTTGCTTCTTTGTAGCTTGGAAAGAAGGCAGACCGTATCCTGCTGTGAAGGTCCGAGAGAAATCCACGTAGTAGCCTCAATGCTGGAGCCACCGACTTAAGCCGAGACCGAACGGCGTGACAAATTACAAAGTGCGTACAAAGACAAATTGAATTCAGTTTTCCAAAAAATCTAGGAAACAAATCATTGGTGCGAGCGCTTTCTTGAAGAAGCGTGAGCTATCCTGCGTCCAGTTACTAGAAACTTTAGTTGCCAGGAGCAAACTTAGCCCTTACTTAATCAAGCGGGGGCCTAATTAATTAAGGAGGCAGGGCCGAGCGGGCTTAATTCAAAGGTTTTTTGCGAATTTCTTCGACTTGACCATCCAACTCGGCCGAAGCGACCGAAAGGCCCTACCACGTCCGTGTCCAACTGCACGGTCTCACCAATGTTACGTCGTGAGCCGCTCTCCTGCGAAAAGCAAAAGCTCGGAAGGGATGTGGGATTCCATGAGATTCTGCGCAGATTCCCAATTCCTGAGGGTTGTGGATTGGAATTCTATATACGCTATCTTTCCACGCCTGCATCCAGGGGTTGGTCTTTGGCCCAGAGTTCAGGAGTCGCGTCTCCACATACTCGCCGTCGCATGCGATGACCTGTGAATCCGGCATCTTGGCAGGGAACCTTCTGGGTGGAGTAAGACATGCCGCTGCAAGTGAAATCAACACTTAACTCGCATGTCAAAGCCAATGACTATGACTAGTTCAAGGGCAGCCACAGGAAACAGTGAAGAAAAGGCCTATCATGGGCAACTTATCATTAAGTAAGATTGGCCTCTACTGGTCTGTTAACAAAAGGATGCATGATGGGGGGCCCACAAAGGCCTTGCTTGACCATAACTGACCACGACTGCTTAAAACCCACAACTCAAACGCAAAACACAACGAGTTAGCTCTGACCCAAATCCATGCAGCTCAAGCAGCTGTTGAGTGCAGAATGCTCCACACCTGCACTGTGGATGTTGCGCAACACAAATCACCACACAACACATCACCGAAGCCCACCACTCATTGCACTTCAGTTCGCTACACTTTAGCACGTCACCACTCACCGCATTGTAGCTCACAAGTGCCATGAGCGGTTCAAGCACTCAGGCAGGGTTTCTGTTTACTTCCGCCTCTTTTCGTTTGTTGCCCCCTGCTTTGTTCGGGGTGAAGCCATTGTGAGTACTGGATTGCCGCGCTACTTTTTCGCTGATTTCAGGTCCCAAACCTGGGAAGTGGTATCCACTATTTGCTGAAGACTCCAGAGATAGCCGCTCGGCGCGGCGGTTGGAACAGGACTCGGCCTGTTCCTGAAACGCATGCAGTCTTCTCACCTTCTTTTCCTTTAATTGGTGTGAACTACTCCGGATATCAACCAAAAATGTCATCTCAGCCCATCAGGAAAGCCCACTTTCGCAAAAGAGAGCAAGCGCAGCCAATGGTTTTTGCTGGTATCATGGCCGCTTCATACACTTCAATCCCTAGTCGCCACACCACCACCTGTGACTCGACCTCGCGCTCAGCCTGTCTCTCCTCCTGATCCTTGGAGGCCCAGCGTGCAGGCGACACCCGGTTCGATTCATTTCGTCAATGCCTCAATCTGGGAGAAACATGCTGAATGCGTCGGCACAGGGGGGGCTGGTAAATCTGTGGCGCCAGTTGAGCCAGTTGAGTTGAGCAGGGTGTCCCAGTCTAGCACTAGTAGGGATCCATCTTCTATCGCACTTGCCCAGTAGCAGCCACCATGCCCTAAAAACTCATAGAAATTCTTGGGTCTTGCACTTAACCCTTTAAGCCTTGAAAAGGAATACCAGAGAAACATTGAAGTAGAAAATAGTAGTGGTAGTGGTGGTGGTGGTGGTGGTAGTGGTAGTGGTAGTGGTGGTAGTAGTGGTAGTGGCGGTAGTAGTAGTAGTGGTGGTGGTGGTGGTAGTAGTAGTAGCGGTAGTATTGGTAGTAGTAGTAGTAGTAGTAGTAGTGGTAGTGGTAGTGGTAGTGGTAGTGGTAGTAGTAGTGGTAGTAGTGGTAGTAGTGGTAGTAGTAGTAGTAGTGGTAGTACGTAGTACGTAGTACGTAGTACGTATAGTACGTAAAGTACGTAGTACGCAGTACGCAGTGCGTAGTAGGTAGTATGTAGTAGGTAGTAGGCAGTAGGTAGGTAGGTAGGTAGGTAGGTAGTAGTGGAGGTCGTCGTAGTAGTGGTAGTAGTAGTAGTGGTAGTGGTGGTAGTAGTAGTAGTAGTTAGTAGTAGTAGTAGTAGTAGTAGTAGTAGTAGTAGTCGTAGTAGTAGTAGTAGTCGTAGTGGTAGTGGTAGTAGTGGTGGTAGTGGTAGTGGTAGTGGTAGTGGTAGTAGTAGTAGCAGTAGTAGTGGTAGTAGTAGTAGTAGTAGCAGTAGTAGTAGTAGTAGTAGCCGTAGTGATAGTAGTGGTAATGGTGGTAGTAGTGGTGGTACAAGTTGTAGTGATAGTAGGCGTAGTAGTCGTAGTAGTAGTAGTAGTAGTAGCAGTAGTCGTGGTGGTGGTGGTGGTGGCGGTAGTAGTGGTAGTAGTGGTAGTAGTCGTCGTCGTAGTAGTAGTAGGTAGCAGTATGTATAGTAGTACGTAGTAGTAGTCGTGGTAGTAGTAGTAGTAGTCGTCGTGGTGGTGGTGGACCCAGTTGACCCGGTTGAGCCCAGTTGACCCGTAGCAGCAGCAGGAGGAGGAGGAGTAGTAGTAGGAGGAGGAGTAGGAGGAGTAGTAGCAGTAGTAGTAGTATTATTATTATTAGTAGTAGTGGCAGTAGTGGTAGCTTGTTGGGGTCAACTGGGTCAACGATCAACTGGGTCCGGAGATTTAGCGTGGTCGCCTAGGACTCTCATCTGCTGAGACTTTTAGAATCACTTTCCACCGGCGGTTCCCGCTCCTGTATGGGAGCCCATGGCTGCCGGCACCCACCAAAGCAGGAGATTATGTGGACGCAATTTTGAAGTGGCAGCTCATCAACGATGCACTACGCCCTATTTGCCGATTGCCTTGAAAGCTCATGCAAGCTTCGTGATCTTGGGCCTTTCAAGACATTTTTCGACAAATGGAGGATGAAGAGCAACAGTGCGCTTCAGAATTCTTGTTTTTTTGCGGGAGTGGCTTCACCTGCCTGGGTGGACAATGGCTGGGCCAGGAAGTTTTCGACAGTAGATGGTGTTCACACTTCTGACAGTGGCGAAGGTCACGCACCACTGAAATTCGACTAGCTGGCCGAACTGGACCAACAAGATCTCACCCTTCAGCAGGCGCTTGATTCCTGGACTCTTTACTTATGGGCCTGTCAGGTACACCACAGCTCTTCAACATCATGTGCCGGACAGGACCATGCCCTTCACGGACAAATGTGTGGATCACGCGATGGTACCGGAGATTGGTGCTGACTCAGTAACCCTGCATTGTTGTTCACGTGGGTACCAAGTGTGTTGGACACTACATCGCTTGGCTTCTTGACATGGAGTCCCAGTCCTGGTCATGCGGACGACAACCATGCTCCAGTTTACACGCTCTTTGCGCGACGAGCCTGCTGCAAAGGACCTTATGGACTCAGCTCTAGGGAGTTTGCTCTCCATGCTGTTGGGCTGAAAGCCCATTCATCCTCTCGAGGGTTGGCTGCGCAACAGACGCACTGTCTGGCGTGCTGAAAGGTCGAAAAAACAGTCATTGTAGCTCACCACATCACGCATGACGCGTGACAACAAACCCAAGTCAAAGATGGGGAACTCCCTCCACCTAGTTTACCGCCTAGTTTACTCGACAGCATCTACAGAGTCCGTCCACTGGTCCACTCGTGATCTGCCTCGTTTTCGGTGATGTTCACCTCGGGCTCAGCCAAGGCATCTCGTAGACGATGCCCTCACGGTCACGGAAGTAGACATGTGACAAACTTACGAAATGTGTAGCCCATGAAAGCCCATGAAAATACCTTCTCGTAATGAGGTATGAGATGCTATGAGCTAGGTTGAATGACAACAGTGTCCTCCTTGTACTTCTAGACAAGCCTTTGGAGATAGGCGTGCAGGTTTGAGAAGGCTCTACATGAACTTGTGCAATCCGCTGCGAACGCAATACCCAAAGGTTGAACAAAGCCTAATGCCAAGTGAGACTTTATTGCAGAAAAGACATACTTTTCTGAGGTGATTGAACCGTGCTTGTCACAGCGGTGCGATGGATCCTCAAAGGGATGTGAGTTTTGCGTCCAAGTGCCTCTGGATGACATCTCGACGCCGGCTGATTCTTTCAGCCCCCGGCAGTTACCGTCGGTTCCGATGCGTCCTGAACCGACTGGTTTGGATGGCCGGAGTAGAACGAGTGTCAAAGAAAGACACAAAACGCGAAAAAGGCATCCTTTTGTACCGGTGAATTCTGGTCATTGTGGCGCGGCATTTGGCTGTGCGTTGAATTCACCTGTAAAGGGCCCACCTCTCGGAGATGCACACCAAACGTGCACCGGAACACTAATCTTCCAACAAAAAAGGCTTCCAAAATCGGTCTTAAACAGCTCAAGCTTGGCAGCCTAGAAGTTTCTAAAGGCTGATCGACAGGTTGATTTGGGCGGATCCAATCGGAGAAGAGTTTTCCTAGTGCTTGCCGAGTTAGCACACCCGGAGCGTGCATCAAGCAAATGAATGAAACTATATATATATACTTATTAATTCAAGGAGGTGACAATGTTTCATTGCTTGAGTTGGGGTTTGCCCAACGACTCAATGAATTCCGAGAATCCAAGCGAGCGGCAGTTTTTTTGTCGAAAGTGCAATTAGTGTTGAAGAGCGGCGGAAATCTCAAACGGTTCACAAGAACGTGCAAGCCAATTCCAAAAGCAATCTTTTTCCGGAGTATACGGCCAACCGGAACAGGCCATGAAGTTGTGGAAAAAAGTTGATGATATTTGATAAATCTCGTGAAAGTTTGAGTGATGCAGTGGATGGTGGCTCAAAGACACATTCAAACATCTCCAAGTGAGGATTACAGTAAAGCGTCAACCTGCAAGGCCAGGTGCTACTTCAACTCGTTTGGTGTCACATGCACCATCTTGGAACGGAACTAAATTTCGAAGTGTTTCATGCCCTACAAGGCTTAGAAACAAGTGCGACGCTAGTAGTAACAAGTGCCTTACTAGTAGTAACAAGAAGCTACTAGGAACAAGTGCATCGCTTCTAGTAACAAGTGTCCTACAAGGCCTGAGGAGCGGCACTTGGAGCGTGTTGAAGCTTAAATCTACCACAGCTGGTGAGGACAGCGAACTGAAGCAAAGAACTTGCACGGCCCCGTCAGAAATGGCTTTGAGCAAACGGGAACACATCCCAAAACTTCTTGTTGTTGCCAATGACAGCGAAGCGTCTCTTCCACTACTTTGATGCCATAGCGGATAGCCACAATTTCCTCCTCGGTCTTGATGCTTCGGGCCTGGGATTCCAGTGTAGCTCTGCGAGTAAAATTCCAAGTGTCGCACATAGAAGCGGTTTGTGTATGTTTGCGTGCAGTTCCTTCCTTGAAAACCACACAATCGCTGTCTGTGTCAGTGAATGAGGAAAGAGGTCCGATTGCTGAACGGCCCAAAAGCACCAAAAGACAACTCCAGCAACTCCTGATACGCAAGCTGATCACCATTCTGATTTTCGTCATGGGTTCATCTGATCCCTGGTCATCCGCCCAGTGACATATTCAATTGGAATCTGTGCATCCATGAGGTCGTAGCCTAACGAACTCCGCGGGCTCTGCTTTTTCACCAAATAGTCAGTGGTGCTACAGTATGGTTGTTTCATTGTTTGCTAGTGTCTCAATGCCAATAGCAAACAGGATCCATGGACAAACTGGGCACTGTATCTTTTTTCGCTGGAGATGAGCTAAGAAATTTACTCCAAACGCTAATTGCAAAATTTGAAGCGACGTGTGACAAGGGCACAACAAGTATAAATTAACAGCCCAGCCATATTGCGCTCGCTAAGAAACCCCTTTGTCGAAGTCCACGCGTGGCCCTGATTGTCGCTCACATGTGGCACAACTCTTGCTGTCCCAAAACAAAAAACTCAATTCTTGATTGTTACTTTGTCAGATTGCCTTTGGCGCAATTGGAGTCTGAGGTTACCACAGGAAGCATTGAGTGCAAACCAGTCTGCTGTTGATGACACACAGTATGGCAAACTGCCACAATGGCACGCGCAACAACACTATTACAATGTTGCTTTGACAAACACATCGGTCTGGCTCAATGTCACTGCCACTGGCCCCTATCCCAAACCATGAAAATATATCATACAAATTTGGTTCGTCAGCCATCAACATGGTGGGTGACTTAATCACTAGGCCCAAATGTCAGAAAAACCAGAAAACTCTACCAGTCTAGCCATGCAGTTGTAGAACCTCAGCCCCGCCCCGCCTTTCCTGGAAGCGTTCCAAAGCGATGCGCTTTCCATAGGGACTGTGCGTTGCCAGGGCACCTCATTCCGGGTCAAAAACATGGAGCTTCATGTTGAGATTGCTCTCATCTTGTCACTTGCGACTTGTCTTTGAGACACCCCCGGTCCACACCAATCAAGGTTGCATTGGGCTGATGCACTCAAGAAGTGTCTTAAGATGGGGGTGCAGTTGAAGTTGCATTCATGTAAACAAACCAAGTGGCAAAAGTTACCGGGGCACGTGCAAGTGCAGGTCACCCTAGCTGCAAGCCAGCAGCTCGGACTGGTGCTCCATGACTTGAGCAAAGCCCAAGCAGGATACTGTTACGGGTTCTCTATGCCTTATTCCCCAAACAGTTTACTGTTAGGGGTTCTCAATGCTTTAAAGAATGGTCGCCTTGGTGCTGGATGGTCTGGTCGGGTTCCCGGCCGGCTTGTCTCCGACTTCCTTTAATTTGTCTCACAGTTCTTTTCATTTGTCTCCCAGTTCTTGTCATTTGTCTATCAGGCTGGGTGCTTGTGGTCGGGTTCCCGGCTGGCTGGTCTCCCACTTCCTTTCATTCTCGGTGCTTGTGGTCGGGTTGTTGGCCGGCTTGTCTCCCACTTCCTTGAATGTGTCTCCCACGTCTTTTCAATTGACTCTCAGGCTGGGTGCTTGTGGTCCGGTTCCCGGCTGGCTTGTCGCCCACTTCCTTGCTTTTGTCTCCCATTTCCTTTTATTTGTCTCCCGCTTCTTTTCATTTGTCTCCCAGGCATTTGTTTCCCACTTTTTCCCCAAACAGTTTACTGTTGGGGTTTCTCAATTCTTTCTTAAGACGTGTCCGCCCTTTGTGTCACTGCTGGTGTCCGCCCATTTCCACTGGCCATGTAACATTTCTATTCATGTGTCTCCCAGGTCTGTCACTGGTGGTGTCCGCCCATTTCCCCTGGTCGTGTAGCACTTCTTTTCATTTGTCTCCCAGGTCTGTCACTGGCGTTGTCCGCCCTTTTCCGTTGGCCATGCAGCGTTTCTATTCATCTCCCAGGTCTGTCACTGCTGGTGTCCGCCCTTGTCCGTTGGGCATGCAGCATTTCTATTCATGTGTCTCCCAGGCCTGTCACTGGTGGTGACCGCCCTTTGCCGCTGGCCATGTAGCATTTCTATTTTTTGTCTCCCAGGAGGTCTGTCACTGGTGTGTCCTTGTCTGTTGGCCATGAAGCATTTCCATTCATTTGTCTCCCACATCCGTCACGGCTGGTGCCATGTAGCATTTCATTTCTATTCATTTGTCTTTCAGGTCTGTCACTTCCTTGTCCGTTGGCCATGAAGCATTTCTATTCATTTGTTTCCCAGGTCCGTTGCTGCTGCTGTCCGCCCTTTTCCGTTGGCCATGTAGCATGTCTATTCATTTGTCTCCGCTGGTGTCCGCCCTTTTCGTCGGCCATGCAGCATTTCTATTCATTAGTCTCCCAGGTCTGTCACTGTTGGTGTCCGCCCTTTTCCGCTGGGCATGCAGCATTTCTATTCATTTGTTTCCCGGGTCTGTCACTGGTGCTGCCGCCCTTTTCCGCTGGTCATGAAGCATTTCTATTCATTTGTCTCCCATGTGATTTCTTTCTTTTTGTCTTTCAGGTTTGGTGCCTGCGCTGCTGTTTTCTGCACTGTCCGCTGGAACACCTTTGCAAGGGGTGCGTGACTGTCTCCGGGATTGCATTCCTGCCACACTGTGTAACTCTCTCAGCTTTGTTCTCCTTTTCGGGCAACCGTTGGATGAATGACCGGATTGGATTTCTGCGGCGTGGCAGCGATCTCTCTGTTCAATTGGGGCGGAGGGCATACGTCAGGCACCAAAAATCTATTTCATGTCACATCCTTCGCTCCTCATGCTTTTATTTCTTGTCCTCACGTGGTCAGCTCCCCGCTGACTGAGCAGCATGACCAGCATCATGTTCGCACTTGAAGAATAATTCCCCAAAAGGTTTACTGTTAGGGCTTCTCAATTCTTTCTTAAGATGTGTCCGCCCGCTCTGTACTGCTGTGTCCCTCTCTGCCTTGCAATCCTTGACATGTGTCTCCCAGCTCTGGACGTCGCAAGCTCTAGTTTCGACTTTGAAAAACACAACCTGTTTGGGGTCTACGGTGGTGTAATAAGAGTGTCAGCCTTGCTGCGGGACAGTGTGTCCGCCTTCTGTCCGGCTTGTCTCCCTCTGTCTCCCTTCTTGTTGGTCATTGTGTCCGTCTTGTCTCCCTTCTGTTTCCTTTTGTCTCCCTGCTTGTCTTGGTCATTGCGTCCGCCCTGTCTGCCTTCTGTCTCCCCTTGTCTCCGGTCTTGTCTCCTTCTCGTTGGTCACTGTGTCCGCCTTGTCTCCTTGTGTCCGTCTTGTCTCACTTGTGTTTCTCTTGTCTCCTTTCTTGTCTCCCTTCTTGTTGGTCATTGTGTCGCTCTTGTCTCCCTTCTGTTTCCTTTTGTCTCCCTTCTCGTTTCCCTTCTTGTTGGTCATTGTGTCCGTGTTGTCTTCCTTCTGTTTCCTTTTGTCTCCCTTCTTGTCTCCCTATTTGTTGGTCATTGTCCGCCTTGTCTTCCTTCTTATCTCCCATGTCCCACTTGTTTGGGGTCTACGGTGGTGTAATTTACATCGCAGTAAGCTGCCAGCATCTTTTTGCGTTTTGTGCGTGGTGTAGTTTTGGAGTGTGCTTGCGGAACGTGATTTGTTTTCAAGAAATGGGTAGAAAATCACGGTGCGCCGAGTTATCCAACATTGTTAAAACATCTCCAAGTCCGCGGACCTCTTCACCTTTCTGTTTGCCTTCTCTTCCAGTCAAGGTCTACTGCACGTATAGTGGGACTTCATACTGATCCTAGCTCTTGCGAGCAACCATCCAAGTGTGTACCCGCCACAGAGTCCCACTAAGGGCTGTGGTGTGATCCCCATCGAGGGGCGCTGCATGTGCATAGACCTGGGGGATTTCTTCCACCTTGGAATTTCGTTCGATTGCTTCTGGCTTGACTGTTTTGCTCGATATCTATGATATCACGCCGCAGGGCTCACTGAGATTACGACCCAGTCTGGATTTGCACATGCGTCTAAGTATTCACCTGCACAGTTTCCATGGCTAGGTAACCACAGGCTGCTTTTTAGTTGCGTGTGCTTTTCATGCTCTTGGGTTCTTTCTCTCTTTCTGGTGCTTTCGTTTCTTGAGGCCTTCCTTTAGGTTTCAGGCGCCTTTCAGACAAG